ACTATTACATTTACATATACAGCCCAACTGAGCATTCTCTCTCTCTCTCTCTCTCTCTCCTCTCTCTCTCTCTCTCTCTGCGCAACTCTGCAAGAGAGAGTAGGGTGTGTGGGAGATTTTGATGAAGCCTATGCGGACTTGGGTCACAATTGGTGATGGAGAGAGCAGGATGGAAGCCAAACGATGATCATCATCAGATAACTCCAAATTGTCCCCGGTGTGGTTGTTCCAACACCAAGTTTTGTTACTACAACAACTATAGCTTAACTCAACCAAGGTACTTCTGCAAGGGCTGTAGGAGGTACTGGACCAAGGGTGGGTCCCTCAGGAATGTCCCGGTAGGAGGCGGCTGCCGGAAAAACAGAAGAGGGTCCAAGTCCTTTAGGCTATCCACCACTGCCACTGCCACAGAAGGTCATGTTCATCAATCTAGTAAGAGTGCCACTAATTTGGGTAATTATGGGAGTACTGTTCACAATTCATATGGCACCAATGTAATTATGAACAACTCATTGGGTGATTCCACAAGCTCCTCAGTAAGTCAAGATGGTTCAAGTATTGATCTTGCACTTGTTTATGCAAATTTCTTGAACCAAAAGCCAGACGATTCGAATAGCACTGGATCTGATCATCAGCTGCCAGAATTACCTAGTGAATTAGATCCGGCTGCTCTAGATTTTTCAAGCATGGCATTGAACATGAACAATGCAAGCTCAGGAGGCAACATTAGTAGCATTCAATTAATGGAAGATCATCAAAATGGTCTTGTTGGGTCACTTGGATGCCACACTGAAAATTGTAGCACCAATGATCTCATGTACTTTGGTGGATTGGACCCATTAATTCATCATCATGAGAAGCATCATCATCAAATTCAAGATTCAAGTGATTTTGGGTTGCCACCAATATTGCCAGTAGGCCAAGAGGAGGCATTGTGGTCTACTTCTCAAATGATGGCTCATACAAGTCATACTATGCAAGCTGCTGCTACACCACTACTAGGAGGAGGGCCAGAAGCTCATGATCCAAACCTCTTAATTGGTAGTTGTTGGAGCCCATTTGATTTGCCATGTAATGAAACTTTCTCCAGGACTTGATGTCAAGATTGATGTTCTTTTCTTAATTTGTTATCTTTCTTTCATATACTATGAATATAATTAGTTATATATGTATAGATCGAATAGATTGGAAACTGAAAATCACTATGTAATAATATAATAATTATGCTCCTAGCTATTACTTATTTTTCCTTTGTAATTTTTGTTAATTCTATTTACAAGGCGGTACGAAATTCGTGTATGCGTTTCATTCAAAACCCCATCTGCCCTTCTGGATTAGTGAGCAGAGAACACACTAAAGATTGAGGTATTTCTCTCTCTCATACAGATAGTCGCAGAGAGGATTTTGTAGCCAGTTTCCTACTCTAGGGTATATTTTCTTTTTCCAAATCCATGGAAGCTTCTTTTATAAAGCTCGAAGCTTCTATTAATTAGTCTCGTAGAAGCTTCTGTTAATCAAGCTTGAGTAGGCTTATATATAGACCATTCATTTAACATAAATTAACCATAGAAATTCTCTCCCGGAACTCTTTCATTTTCTTGGTCTTTCTGCTTCGAGATTTGGCAGTTGAGATTTTCTAATGGATGTCTAAAACCACTACCATGAAGCTGCTTAATCACTCATTGAATCCCCAAGGAGAGGAAAAATTAGTGTCAAAACCCTATTAATGAAAATTACTTATAATAATATTTGGTCAAGATCAAGGACTGTAAAGATTAATTGAGAGAGTCCAAGTGGTGCCTCTGCCGGTTTTCAAAGGATGCATGGTTTCGTGGTTCCAAGGGAAAGGAGGGAGAAGCACTCAGTCTACTTGTTGTGCCGTTCATAATTGTCGCGTGGATTGAAAAGCAAAGAATATGAAAATGTCAAATCCATTGGAAGCACATCTTGTGGGGCTGAAAACCATGCATTGCCCAGGTTTGAAAATTTCTTGGAACAAGTCCCTGAATAATCTATTTTATTATTGATGAGTGTATTAGTGGAGGTTGGCAAGGTTTAGGTTTGAGATTACATGAAATTTAGTGCAACACATGATCCCAGAAACGCCCATGATCCAAGATATATATAACTAACTTCCACAAATCATCTTCCAGCCGACAAACATCTAGTATGAATACAAAATGCCTGCAAAGTTTGATCAAATCATATATATATATATATATTGATCAATAATAAAAAGATTAGTGGTCCCTTAATACCAAATCTATCTTTATGTTTAATTCGGGTGGACTGCTAATACTACGTGACCTAATTCTTTATATGTACAAATTGACGACTCCGTATTGATCAAGATCCACAAAAAAATGAATGGTTGATATTTATTTGGGCAACTAATCATAGCAAAGCTCCTCAATTAATAGTGTAATAATAACATATAATACGTATAATAAATATATGTACGACAAATGAATCAATAGAGAAAATTAAAAACATCACCTAGTCAAAATCAAATGCATGTCACTTGTTATTGTATTAGTTCTCATGCCTTGCGTTAGATTAATTTACAGGTTGCTCATCTACCACGTAATCGATCATACGATCTTGGTGTACGACGTGAAAGTTGATTTGCTTCCATGGATGCAATTGCAAGCTGCTAATGCTGACTGCTGCTGAGACTGACTACGACCCGATCATGTTATTGGATATCCAATTTGAAAAAAAATATAAACGATATGGAGGAAGACAGCATCGTTGCCCATCATATTCATGATATCAGGTTAAAAATGTCGGGCCAACTTTGGATCAGATATCATCTGACGATACAGAGCCAGGTAAGGCCTTATACCATTGTGAAATCTGTACCCTACACGTGGAGGCTCGGGATTGGCAGGGATTTATGATGAAATTATGAGTTGACTAGGGGAGGTGGTGGTGTTCATTTTCTTGAGAGTTGAATCTCACGTAGTAAATAACGAATTTGCACCACACGTTTGCTTCTTTGGCCATAAAATTCGTGACACTTTAGCTTTTGTGTTTGTGGAAAAAGGTATATGGACATGATTCTCAATCATAATATTTGTAGAATTTTCGTGACATGCATATAACAATAATCGCAAATTGATAAAATTGGAACGTATATAACACTTCATGCCTTTCCCACCTATATATGTGTGCTTTATTTTATAACTCAGCATAAACTACAATAAACCAATTTCAAACATCTCCTGAATCATGTAAGTCAAAGTCCGAGCTGGAAATTTTTTCCATGTCCCGTGAATATGGAACCAAATATATGGTCCACATTCATTCCAATGAATATATGTACTGGCATTATTAGCATTTTGTTTTGCATAATAACAAGGTACGTACTTAGAGGTTTTGGGAAAGGGAAATGTATTGGTTCATACATACATGCGTGTTCAAAATTCCAATCCACCCTAGCTAACTAACCGACCAGATTCATTTCTGATCGGGTTCGATAAGTTTGGAGGATTGAATTAAATAATCAGATTGGGACTCATGAGTGTGAAACTACACAAAAGAAACAAGGAAAGTGTAATTTTTTCAAACAAGTACAATTCCGAAAGTAGAAAGAAATTAAGGAAAAAAAGAAGAAGAAAAAGAGCCATGAAAATGTGAGGTAAAGAATTGTCCATTACCACTGCTTTCCCAGAGGAAGGTGACTTGCCATTAAGGGAAATTTCTTCATTGGCGCCGCACACAGCATGTGCTGCAGTAAGGTCCCAGCCGCAATTTGATTTTACTAGATGGAGGGGGAAGTTTCCCCTCTTCTCTTTTATATACTGGAAGGTAGAAGGCCCTTCTGGATTTTCCACATACATCACATCATGCGTCTAATGTCTTGCCATTATTATTGCACTCTTGACCAAGATGCTGTATGAGATATTATTGTATAATAATCCAACCGCGTGTTATAACATGGATAGACCATGAATTTATATTTTATAATATAATAATAAATATGAATAAATTTACAGGGTGTATTTAACCTGAACGTGTACAATTGACCGAACAAAACTTATACCTTTATATATACGTGTACAAGTAGTAATCACATCATATAATCAGTAATATACAGTCCATATCTCTCGGACTACATGGGTACAAGGGATTTGTGGTCACTCACCGTTGAATTTACATTCAACGGTTCACTCACTTTTACACTTCTTTTAAGAAACTTTTTTGAACGGTTATATTAACATCCAACGGTGAGTGACCACAAATCTCTTAGACCCATGTGGTCCAAGAAATCGGGGCTGCAGCAATATAATGGATAATGTTAGATTAAATTAATATTGTTCTCTTTAATTATAATGCAAAGTCAAATACAAATGTTGTACTTGTTTTGCTAAAAGGAAAGCTGTAACTTAAAAGAATTAATAATCCCATTGTTTATCCGTATTAGGTATAATTGCAGGAATATAGAATTCGGTCCACAAAGATGGGCAAATTAAATTGTATAACACACTTGCAAGGAACATATGACTATTTTCTGTGGCTGGCTGGCTTTTTTGAGGGAGAAAGTCTAGGTCTACAGCTAGTAGGTGCTGGTGCTGCTGGTGCTGGTGCTGGACCAGTTCTCAATCAATTTGCATGAACAAGGTGACCCAGAAACTGCTAAAAGTATGGGCTTATTAATACTAATCTTTGGATTTCTCTGACCAAAAATTAAAAAGAAAGCAAAAGATTTCGATTTCTCATAAACGACTCAAATTCGAAACGAAGAATTTCCAGAACAATGAAAAGATCTGCAAAATATATGTAATCAGTCCAAATATATATCGAGCAATTAACTTCAGAAGGACCAATTAGACCATGAACCAAAACAGAACAAAATCCATACGAATGTGATCAAACATTTAAGGGACTTGCCCGTTAATCTGTATATATATTTTTATCATAACCAACTATCCAATATGTACACAAAAATGGAAAATTACTGAAAATATATAGAGAAAGCCACACTTCTTTCTCAATCTCTATGAAGGATAAGAAGAAACCAAACTGCTTGGTATACAAGTAGAGTTCTTCCATGTCCTTGCATGCAATTTCAAGATCTCTCTGGACTTCTCCTTGGTCTTGCTCCCACTGTCCACTTGAAGCACCAAGCACAGCTTTGCCACAACACCCAGTTGCATCATCTCCTGCAAAACACTCGGGGTCGCTGAGAACTTGCAAATGGAGAACAAAATCCTCACAGCCCTCTCGCTCCCCACCTTCGAAACTCTCATTATCTTCTTCGAAATCACCGCGAGTCCTGCCCCGTGGTTCAGCAGGTCTGCGCGGCCTTCTGCGCAGGCGCATATCATGTCAAGAACTATCAGTGTCATTTCCAAGGTCCTCCTGTCTGCAGATGTATCAAGGAGAAGCTCGATCAAGACATTAACCGCCCCGGCTTCGACGGCCTTGACTCGGTTCCGTCCCCAAGGGCAGAGCTTGATGAGCAGCTGCAATGTGGCTTTTGAGGCCTGCTGTGAGATCTGATCATTCAAGACCTGAACGACTTCGATGAAGAATTCAGGTCTTAAGTTTGTCATCTTCATTGGGTCGTCAGCCACCTCGAACATTGATCTGAATAACATCACTGCATAAGCTCGAGACTCGTAGCTTCCACGTTGCATGAGCTTGATCAAGGCCTCGATAAACTCCCCTTCTTTGCCTACAAGTGTTTTGAGTGCGTCTTCGCTGAGATTGAGGTTGTAGAGGATGCTCATAGCTTCTTCGCTTTCAACACTGTTGTTGTTTCTGACGTTGTTGATGATTATGGAAGACAAGAACTCGCTTGCGCCAGCGGCTTCGATGCTTCTCTTGTTGGCTTCACTGTGGGACGCCATGGACCGGATCTCTCTAAGGCATTTCGACAAGCACTGTGGAGACTTTTTGGCTTCTCTGAAGAGCTTGGCGATCTGCGTTTTGCTGACAGGCGGCTTCGGAGTAGGGATCCGCTCGATGCCTTGAGAAGCGTTCAAGGTGCACCAAGCTTGGAGCAGCCGGCGGAGAGTGTGGTTTGGGGTGATGTCAGAGCCCGAAACCACTTGTTTGGTGACGGGGCAGGTGTTGTTCTTGCTCAAGAATAGCCATTTCTCGATGCTCTCCCGGTCGTAGGTTATCCCGGTTGTAATTGTGACGGGGTCTTTCATGATTTCCAGAGAAATGGGGCAGATGAAAAATGAAGGAACATCAATTTCTTGATCCATTGATGGAAAAAGAGCGAAAACGCAGAAGGGAAAAAACTGGTGGAAATGAAAACTAAGAAGGTTTTACTTAGGATTATGAACAGGGATCAAAAGAATTGGAGGAGGTTTTGTGTGTAGAGTGTTTGATGATTGATTTGATGATGAAGGTGTTTGATATAGTTGTGAAATGGTTTGAATAAGTTTATGAGGTTATGAGAAAGGGGTTGAGTTTTTATTTATATACATGCGGAGATGGGGAGGAAAGTAAGAGATTTTCAAAATGAGAAAGTCAAAACACGGGTAATATGAGCGTTGAGAGAGAGTAGAGGGAGAGTAGAGAGAGAGGAAGATGAAGATGAAGACTTTTCCAAGTTATTGAATGGCTCAAGTTTGATGAACTTTACCAAGTCATTAAGCATGGAGGGGAAGGTGGGGTCAAGGGGCTAAATTAAAGTGCACAAGGTGAAATGCACATGCAAATAATACAAAACTTTGGGCAAAGATGCATTAGCAATTTTTCCAAACCCCCCCTTTGACTTTCTCTATGTAGAAAAAAGAAAACACGACATAATAATTTTCCCTTTTTTCTTTACGGCTCGTGCCAATTTAAATTCTGCTTTGCCTGCTTGCCGACAAAAGGTGATGGGTGTGGGGGCTATTTGGTAATGCCCTCTCACTCCGTTAGTTTGCTTGGCCATTTGGGTTGTTGTCACTGCCTACATCCCATTTGTTTTGACCAATACAATGGTCTCTCTTGGGTTTTATGGCACGTGGAGGAAACATGGGCCGTTTGAGTTGCATGTGAAGTACGTTGATCTCGTTGATGAGAGAGAGAGAGAGAGAGAGAGAGAGAGGAGGTGAATAATTTTGTTAAGTCAACCTAATTATCTGATTGAAAGTTACTAAAGTATTGTGCCTCATTATGAAAGTTACTAAAGGAGGGAGGGGGACCGGTTGGTTTCATTCACTATGATTTGCACTCATTACTAGATATGGTAAAAACTAAAAATTAACCAAGTAACCAATAACGGCTAGATTCTTTTTAATTTTTTTTTTAAAAAAATATCTTTAGCAAGACAACAAGGGGAAAAAGGGAGAGAACTTATTTAATTGTGAATTTTCATAATTTTATTACAAAAAAAAAAAAAAAAAAAAAAAAAAAAGAAAGAGGAGACAAAATGCCATGATAGCATGAAAGAACTCGAGATTTCATACCAAAATAAATTAACAATGAAGAGAGTAGTTCAATTTTTTTATAAGTCTATGTAACGTTTCTTAAATTTCCAATATGGAACTCTTCACTTTATATTCTCACACACTTCAGGTGATCCATGACCTTCACCATTGTACCTCACCATCCTTCACTATTCATACAATTGGATTTAGAAATAGCCGATCTACAAAACATGGTTAACATTGCGACCAATCATGATCAAAAAATGGTCACTTGAAGGACCATTGAAACCCACTCTTTTTCTTGTTGAAGAATATAAAGTCTCGTATCGAAAACTTGACTCAATAAAATACAACATATAATGAGTGATTACACTCCTAATAGCACCAAGACTTTTTGTAATAAAACCTCGCACCTACCATACTTTGTAGGTGGTTAAGTTGGGGACAACGTTATTGCTAGTAGTGAACCGTTTGTCCGTCTCTTTGAAATTTAACATTTCTTAATAATAAGAACTTGTATGAGAATGTGGCCCAGGAGTGCAAATCTTAATAATAAAACTCTGATAATGAGTATTATGATTATTAAGATATAATCAAATCTTAACACTAATCATTCTGATAATGAGTTTTATCATTGGTTGAGATATAATCAAATGTTAACAATAATAGTTTTGATAATAAGTTTTATGATATATTCTTGCTTACAATAGTTATATATAATTTCTCCAAAATTCTCTCTCTCTCTCTCTCTCTCTCAAATTCAATCCCTCACATGCTAGTCATGCGACTAATTTTATGAGAAAGAGTTTGTAGACCATACATGTGGGTGGAGTATTAGTTCATCCGCAAGACTAGCAGATCATATGTGTGGTGTGGATAGCTCATCTCCTTTAATTGCCTAACCCCCCCAAAAAAAAAACTATTGATGAAAAATACCTCTTAGTTGACTTGTGTATTAATTGAATACCCCTTTTTGTTTTTTTTCCATAATCTTCCAATAAATAAATAAACTAATTAATTTTGATTTAGGTTTTTTTTTTATAGCTGTCGTGTACTCTTACGAAAAACTAATATTATGTATATACGAATGCCAATGACGCAAGAGGTTTTTATGCCAATGACGAATCCAATTGCGTGATACAAACCTGGCAAGAATTCGTATGGCTACATTTGTTGCAGCGAGAATCTGGCAAGATTTGTCTGTATATCAATATCAATTTCCGAATCTTGTCCAACATGATCAGGCCAAAATACAATAGCGTCGTATCCTACCTGAACAGAAAACACGACGCACACACGCACACACGCACACGTACGTGGTTGAAGATTTGTTGCATGGTTTGCTTGTTAGAATGATCATGTGTTCAAACCTCTTGTACACGACACACAAACTCACACTCCTATTCAAACTGTCAAAAGGGAAAGAAAAAAACCCACTACTAGAAAAGTCCAAATCGACTTCGAACCCATGCAATGTAAGTTGTGTTATTAACTTAAGTATTAGTACCTAATTTATTGGTTGTTATGCTTGTTATTGTTTTTCAATTGAGTTTTCACTTATGTATATGTTTGTATTTTGAGGGGTAAGATTTCATATGTCTCTGACTAGATGTACGTTTTCTTGTTTATTAATAAAATTTACCCGTCATGTTGAGTTTTTTGCTTTTTTTGTTTTTTTCGATTGGAAAATTTAATCTAAAAGTTAACCCAAGTTATTTTTTTAATCTTAAATCCGTGCTGACGACCGCAATGATAACTTGTCCAAAAGATTGTCACATATGATTTCTTTCTCCCACGTGCCCAAATACCACTACTATTTTTGGTAAGTAGAATTAATATTATTACGCAGTGGCAAACGCGTGCCCGCAGCGTTAGGGCCGCCAGCCACAACTCAACTCTCAACTCTCAACTCAAAGTCTCAGGGGCTTATCCATCCACAGCCATAAATGGCCTTTGAGAGGCTGAGAATGAGAGGGGCGTTTTCAAACTTTTTCGTATTCATTCTTGTGGGTCTGTGTGGATGTGACCGCACATCGCATATTTGCTGACCAACAAGAGCCGTGTTAACTTTATCCACACTCCATTTGGCCATTTGTTAAGGAATTTTTCGGTACGGATTGAACACCGTCACGTTATGTTATTATTTTATTTTGATGTATGAATTCGTTATTATATGAGGAAGTGAAGAAATATCTCATATTAGAATAGGTACAAATCTTTGTTTTATAAAGAGTTAGTATACTTACTCATTGCTAATTTGTTTTGGAATGGAGTTTCCAAGTTAGCTTATCATGAAGCTCAACGACCACACATACTTCACGTTACCCATTTTAGTGGTGGATGAGCCACTTTACGGCCAAGTCTCCCTCCACCCCCCCTTTAAACCAAATTTTTTTTCTTTCTAAACTCCTATTCAGACCTCGTGTTATTTTGGGTAACTAGTAATAGAAAGCTTGTTAATAATTTAAGTATTTGGCCCTTCCGACCAATGAGTACATGAAGAAATGAAAAGCATATTTAGCCATAATATGAAAATTCTTAATATTTATGTATTTTTCAAGTTAGTATTTATATTTGGCCTCCCAATTTTACAATTCTAGTTATGCACCCTTGACTTGGTTGATAGCTTTGGTATGATTTATTTGTGTATTCTTTTCTCCATTTTTTTTCTTTAAAATTTAGGGTATGTTTGGTTCATGGGAAATGAGGCTTGATTCCCCATGTTTGGTAAGTCTAAGCATATAGTTAATGGTTGCATGGCACATGAGAAAATAGGGGGAAAATGAAACTCTCCACCCTTTTGGGTTTCATTTTCCCTTTCCATGGGAAACTAATTAAGGACAACATTAAATGCACATTTTTAATGACTATTTTGTCCCCATTAACAATTTAGAATTATAATAGCATTAATGCATTATGTTTTTATTTTATTTAGTTTATATTTCTAACATGAGTATAATTGAAAAATTAAACTAAATTTGTTTTATATTTGAACACGAACCAAACATGGGAGAGGAAATAAAGTGGTATTTCCTTGTTACTTTCCCATCATTATCAAATATGAAAAATGAATCTTCCATTTCTTATGTCCTTAAGATTTCCGTGAAGCAAACAGGAACTTTTTAGAGCTTATCGTTTTTCAGCCAAGAGAGGAGTTTGAATATATTCAAAAGTCAACCTTGTAAGCTATGGCCACCGCTACATGTCAGCCCGGGTCGTATAAGGTAGATAGATGTATGATGCATCAGTACTTATTACAGACTGACGAGTAAGTGGCTAATTATGCATCACGTGAGAGGCGACTTTGAATTTCAAACAATCATCGCCGACTATGAATTATGAAGGGTTACGTTGCAGTGATTGGTTTATTTGCTGGTTGCATGTCCGTAGTCTTAGTGCGTACGCCATTCATCGTCCAAATTATGAAAAGTCTGTGTTTTGAATACCTCATTACCCGCAACCAATATGATGTATATGGCTGGCTGCCTCTCATGATGTGATTGTACGCATCTTTGTATTGGATTGAAGAGGGGATCATTATCTTGGCTACTGCCTCTAATTGACTAATTGATGATGATTTAGTTGTACTTGTCCGGCATAGGTACATTTCCCCAGAGCCATTTTGATGAAAGTAATAAAAGAAATTGCATATACATGACCCCAAATCTCGAATCTTCTTGTGTTCAATTCCATCTATTGGTGTAATATTTTGTATGTTATTTACAACGTGACCAAGGGCTGCTAAGCAATTACATGATTCGGTCAATTTGATTGGAGGATTGGATCAAAGTTAAAAGCACCAAACTTGGTGGGCCATATAGATATAGATAATTTTTTTTTTTTTCAAAGCTTTTTTGGGCTATAGGCTACAACCCACTATTAGACGTGACATTTAGGGTATGTATGCATGAGACGCACGTTGTGAAAGCTCACTACTGACGACACATTGACCAAGCATAATGTGAATTAATTTTTCTATCGGCTTTTTACAACATGCCTTGCGTATGTTTGTTCCTCGTAAGTAAAATTGAAACACAATTTTCTTTTGATCGATCAGGGGTTATGCAGAATACTATTTTTTATTGATTTAGTTTGACCTAATCAGATCCGCTAGTGGATGGCTTTCAATTCTACAAACAAAAAACCTTCCTTTTCAGCAACCTGTGGTGGGCTTGTTTTTTTTTCTTTTTCTTTTTCGCCAGAACTGAGAGCTTAGGGACAGTTATATTTCCACTTGGAGAGCTTGATTTAATTGCTACGATTTATATAAATAGTGGGTAAGTACTAGTTATGAATTTGTGCCTAATGTTTAGTTAAAGAAAGGGGCTTTGGAAGACCTGAAATTTACACAACATCCACGTGGTGCATTGAAATCCTATTTGGCTGGTATTCAGTTGACTTTGCAGATGAATGAAAGTTATGCATCTTGAATAAAAATTATAATAATAATAATAGACCTCAATGAAAACAAAGGTATTAAAAAAAAACCCCTAAATTATATATGGTTTTGACCTTATACTGCTTCTGATATTGTGCTTATGAGTTAGGATCTTTGCGTCCCGTTTTAGTTGTCATGTCCCAAATGGAGTCTTTTGTTCTTTTTATATAAAGGATGCAAAAATTCAAATAAATTGTACACACAAAAATATTTTGAAGAAAATCTTAACCTTCTAGATATAGACAGATGAAAAATGACCCACATTGCATCAATTTGACATTCATGCAATGCAAGTAAAAAATAAATTTATCGAGTGTCTTGTAAAACATAACGGTTAACTTGATAATTTGAGCATGTATAAATACTCACAATAACATCGCATAAAAAATAGAAAAATAAAACACTGCTTAGAGGATCAAAAGTAATTAACAACCTCTTTTTTCTTTTTTCTTTTTTCTTTTTTCTTTTTTCTTTTTTCTTTTTTCTTTTTTCTTTTTATCAAAGGAAATCTTTATCACTTTCAGTAACAGTCAATATGACATACAAAAGGACACCTAGAAAAACTGGAGAAAAGAGGTGCACCTAGATTGGCCTGATTAAAACCTTGCCATAGTATTTTCACATGCAGCCCATCAAAATTCACTTTGAATGAAGCTGCTACTTTGAACATTCAGAAGTGGTTAAAATTAATGATGCAAGAGCCAGTACCTAGTAAGTCTCACAATCCAGATTAATATACTAAATTAATGGTCAAAGCATAACAGTGAAAGGTATTAATTAGTCAAATTATATATCTACTCAACAATTAAAAAGTATACAACTTGTATACCCCGGAATGGAAAAAATCAAACAAATCATACATGAAATGAGAAAATCATTGACTGCGCGCGCAACATTAAAATAATGGTGCAAGAACTGGACCAAATTCTTTTCTTTTTCATAATTTTTTAGTCAAATTTCTTCTCTGAAAACAACAAATCTCAAGTTAATCAAAAGGTAAAGGCCCAAAAAATAGATCATCAAAAGGCCCAAGTTCTATTTATTTATTTATTTTCATCGAGGCACGATTCGAACTGGGAACATCTTTCAACATTAGGGAAAAAAAGTACTACTAGGTAGGCTTCTAGATAAAGCAATTTCTTTAATTTAGTCAACCGTTGGTTCAAATGTGCCCTTAATACAAGTCATTGCTAGTTTTCTCAATTTTCCAATGTAGGACTCTTTACCTTTTACATTCTCACACGCTCCGCACTTGTAGCGAATTTTTAAGCCTAGCACGTGGACAACACTCATATTGGGTGACGTGGAGCACATGTGGTCGTTGGGCTTTCACACATGGGCAAACTTGCTCTGATACCATAAAGGAAATTGAGATTTCACCCTAAAACCAATTGGCAATGGGGGAGTAACCCAACTCCTTATAAGCCCTTGCTAAGTTTCTCAACTTTCCAATGTGGGACTCTTTACCTTCACATTCTCACACGCCCCGCAAGTGTGGCGAATTTTCAAGTCTAGCACATGGACAACACATATTGGGTGATGTAGAGCATGTGTGGCCGTTGGACTTTCACACATGGGCTAACCTGCTCTGATACCATAAAGGAAGTTGAGATTTCACCCCAAAACCAATTGGCAATGGGAGGAGTAACTCAACTCCTTATAAGCCCTTGCTATGTTTCCCAACTTTCCAATGTGAGATTCATTATCTTCACATTCTCACAGGATGCACGAGTACATGTTCTAAACTACTTAAGCTATAAGTCCCTTACATTTTAAAGAGATCTTGAAATAAAGTTTTGGATGCCATATGTTATTACTCAAAAAGAGTTCAAAAAAAGAGAAGATGGGTCAAGGTAATTTGCCTTTAAACAACAATACTATAAGTTAATGCCAAGAATCTCATAAGAAGTACAAATTATTGCAAACATTAATCTGACAGCAGAGATTGCATGCTCTTTCTTTCTTTTTTAATTTGTTTGTTCAACAAATTTCAATTTATAAATAGATAATATAATAGTTATATGAACACTCGGTTGCATTTGATCATCTGTGACGGAGAGAAATACCAAGACAAGGACACTTCTTCCACTCCTCAGAATGTGATCTCAGGATTTGCCTTGCTTTGTCTTTCAAGTATGGAGCGCAGTCAACTTGGAGCAAAGTACAAAGCCTATAAACAGCTCCAACCTCCAACATTTCCTGAAGCACCATGTTGGTTCCTGAGTACTTGCAGATCAAAGAAAGGATCAAAATGGCTCTGTCGTCTGCAGACGGCGAAACCTTCCAGAGTCTATTCGACACAATAAAGATGCCTCCTTTGTGGCTCACAAACTGAGCCCTCCCATCAGCACAAGAACACAAGTGAAACAATATTCCGAAAATGAGCTCTGTGGTTTTCTTTTCAGGTGCTTCAAACTCAAGCTCAATGAGCTCGTAAACCGCCCCGGCATCGACCATCTTGATTCGGTTTCTTCCCCATGGACAAGCGTCTAACATGATATGTAGAGCTGCGTTTGTCCCTTGTTGCGTAACCCCGTTTCTCAAAACCCCAACAAGTTTCTTGAAGAAATCAGGGTTCAGAGTTTCTAGCACACTTGAGTTTGCCTTTTGGATGATCGATTTTAGTACCAAGACTGCATGTGTGCTCACCGAGATTTGATTCTGCAATTTGCAACCAAAAACCCACGTTAACGAATCGACAATCTGATCGTTTTCCATGAAAAGAAGACTTAGTTCTTCGGATGAAATCCGAACAAAGTGAAGTATGCTAAGGGCTTCTTCAAGGCCATCAACCAGACCCTCCTTATAACACCTGTTTGCGATGAACAACAACATGGCCTTAGCCACGCCAGCGTCAACCAAGTACTTCCTATTCCCTTCGCTTTTGGTCGCGAGGAACTCGATTTTTCGAATGATTTTCAGTTGGAGCTTAGGGTTCCAGAAGTCCTTGAGGAGCTTAAGGACTTGAGCCTTATCCAGAGGTGGTTTCGGGGTTGGTATTCGATCAATGCCATGAGACGCATTTTCAGTGCACCAAGCCTGAATTAAGCGGCGTAAGGTATGGTTAGGGGTTAATTCTGAGTCTCTTGGGAGAGGCTGTTTGGTGACCGGGCATGTGGTGTTCTTGCTCTGGAAAAGCCAGTGCTCGATGCTGTCCCGGTCATATGTGATGCCGGTAATGGCCGTCACAGGGTCTTGCATGATCTGGAGAGATATTGGGCAGACGAAATACTGAGGAACTTCAATATCATCCATGAAAAAAAAGAAAAGGTGAAAGTTGGTGGAGAAGAAGAAGAAGAATTACCAAGAACAGAAGTTGATAGATCTAGAGGGGATAAGAATTAAGAAGAGCTAGCTGGATCAAATGGAATTAAATGATGAAGAAATTAATAATAATTCAAATATTCCGTTCAGTGTGGAAGGAGGAACTTTTGGTTTTGCGGTGGTAAGAGTATGCGGCTATATATTTGACCGAGGAGAGATCTAGAGAGGGAGAGAGAGTTGTATGAGTAGTTTGGTCTTTAAATCTAGGTGGTCTTCATGCTTATATTTATGGTGAAGTCTCATGGGGGCAAATGGATTGTACCAGTAAGAGATGCCTAATCCATTCCAAGGCCAGCGTTGAGTGGTCAAAAGGGAAGAAAGTTGTGGCCAATGCTCAAAGCCTCTCAAAAATTAAAAAGAACACGGAATGCTGAAGAGCAATGGATTGGGACCCTTTTGATCTGAAGCTACTTTTTTTAATCGAGTCAAGGCCAATATAAATAATAATAATAATAATAATAAATATGAAAGAAAAAAAAACCCACAAACTAAACCGACTTGTATAATTTTTTATCAAAGGCTTCTACTACTGGATTTTCTTTTTAGTGCAGGATAGCACGTTCATCAATCTGTAAGCCTAACCGATCACAATATAATAATAGTAAATTGAGCTTAGACCCATAAAATTCATTTTTAATCATTTACAACTCTTTTCTTTATTTTTATTTTTATATTTAAAATACCCAATTTTATCAAATAAAACCCGATGACTAAGATCCAAGTAAGCAAGTTACCTAATCTAGCTTAAAATCTGATTTATTCTATTTTTTGGATTCCAAAACTACCTCTATTTACAAGTTAACGCGTTATGTGGGTAAACACACATTGAATTTGGAAAGATCTTCAAATGGTTGTAATGGATGTAGAAATTAATTTAGAAACTTATTTGAAATTAAATATTAAATTCAACATTAATGTATTAGTAATCTACATGCAATTAACTTTTTGGTTTATTTAATAAAAAAATTATGTTGTTTTCCTTTTATGAATTATACTACTAGTAATCTATTTTATTATTGTTTTATGAATAATAATGTACATTCTAATTATGTTGAAAAATATTCTGATAATCTATTTATTGTTTTTTTTTAAATGAACCTATTTTCTCTCTCCAAATAATACACCTTTTTTTTTCTCTAATAATGTACCTATTTATCCTCTCCAAATAATGTAGCTATACACATTTATGGGGTGCACATTTGGGCAAAGGGCACATTTTGTAATAGATGCACAAAGAATTAATCAATTGAATTTGAGCTGAGGAAGTAGATCTAGCCCTGTGGATAATGTTTTGTCGTGCAGTGATTCCATGCAGAACACACGAAACTTCCGATGTAGCAACATTATTAATTCCTAGTCAAAAAGGTCGAGTCAGCCTAAGGTCCTCCTTCCTTAAATGTTCTAATAGACGTATACTAGTTATTGGTTGAGGCCACACGCATATCACGTTCAACAATATCTCTCTCTCTCTCTCTCTCTCTCTATATATATATATATACATGTTTTCCTTGCAAATAAACCCCACTTCCCTGCTTTTATTAACTTCACATTTGCAAGTTTATGTTTCTTTGCAACCACAAAAGGAAGAGAAAAACAAGGAAACTTATTCATACCACATTTGGTCATTGTCAAGAGTTTATAGTTTGTGTTTGAAGCAAAAGAATAACAATGAAAAGTAGTGAGAAACCAAAGGAAAGACTTGATGGTTTGGTTATTCTTGTTATTATTCTTTTCACTTTGGTCCACTTACACTACTAGAAAAGTTCAATATAAGTCACGAATACACCCGTGGCCAAAAAAAAAATGATTGAAAATAGAAAATGAAAAACCCAAACAAGACCGAATTAAATATATATATATATATAATATATATGAACGTTCTTTAATCACTGTTCAACCATTTGACTCCAAGTTGATGTATATGTCGGAAACTTTTCATAATTCACTGCTTGTTAGTCAAAGCATGAGGAATACTAGTAATTAACTGATTTTTCAGTTTTGGCAAGGTGAGTCAATGCATTATAGCATTAAAATTACATGATTCGATCGCCTTCTATTTACCTAGGCTCGTTCAACCAAGTCAAGTCATCATTATATATATGATATAGTCATAGGGGGCTGCTGATCAATGCAAGCAATAAATAAAATTATTGAACTGCTAATCCACATTCCAAAATAGTCATTATACACTCATTTTTCGTTGAAAAAATAAAAAATGAAAGAGTCTAGATCCAAATATTAAATATATAAAACCAATATGATTTCATATGATCAATTGCTCTAATTAATTGTTAAAATGTTTGGCAAAAAAATACTTATAATATATAGGGTGGTGCTAGAGGCACCAACTTTGAACACCAACCTGGGCACCAACTCTCTAATAGAGGTGAGACCCGCCAATACACCGGGGCCCACGCTCTATTAGAGAGATTTTCAATTATGGGATGCAACTGGAGGTTTGTTATGATTATATTTACTAGACTTGTGTTGAACAGTCGTAGCCTACAATTTCGGCTGGTTCTGGTTATTGTCCCTTGAATGTTGCCACTTATTCTAAGTCAGTCTTTTTTGTTTGTTTCTGTGATTCCTCAAGCTTCCTTTGGGACGATCTCATCTCAGCCGCACTCCTTTAACTTACACATTTGGAAGCACTAAAAAGGGGAGTACTAGTCCACAATGGCAAAAGCTTTCAAGACCAATTATCGAATATGAGACTTCCAACCCCGTTTAAAAGGTTTTGGAGAATTCCCGTCCCCATCCCCGTCGGAGGGATATTCCCCATCCCGAATCCCCGATTCTTTCATGCCAAAATGGAAGAGTTCCTGGGCTTTTAGCCTTATTTGTTACCATAACAAAATTGCAGGTTTGATCTTGAATAGCTAAGGCATCTAAAAATCCAGAATTTATCAAATCATACCAATTATAACTTTGCATCCATTTCCACTTATCAACAATGTTTATAGTTGAAATGGGTTTCTATTTAACAAATTTACTAACAACAAAAATTCAGAGCGATTGAGTTTTTCCCAGAGAGAGGGAAAGTGAGAGAGATGGTTTTTTGTTGTTGGATTTTTTAGGTTTTATTAAATTTAATTATAGTTTTTAAATAATATTCTATTTCAATTAAATAAAAAAGTGGTCCCCACATGCACCACGTTAGCATTTCACGATTGACCACACAGTCAACTTAACGGAAGGATAAAATTGGACAAGTTTGAAAACATTAGGGTGTAAATTGATGAAATTGATACTCCGAGGCCCATATTGAGAATGATCCCAAATCTATAGGGTGTTTTTTGATGTTAGCCCTTTTTTTAATAGCTGGAATGGGAAGTATTAAGTATATTGATTATTTAAGTGTTTATATATTGGGTCGGGTTCAGGGATGGGGATGCCAATACCATCCCCGCCCCATATCCGACGAGGATTTTTTAAATTCGGGGATTCCAATATCCAATTCCCGTTTTGCCTCGAAATTTCCCCCCGTTAGAGTCGAGCAAATTGTGTGATTGTGGTTGCTTTAATTAAGGTTTTCTTTTCCTTGCAAGTTTGAGATCTTTAATCTTGTTTATTTTTAATTACTTCTACGGTAGTTGTCTCCATTGCTAATGATTTATTCTTTTTAGATGACTACCATCTATACTGCACAAATTATTTTTCAGACTATACACAAATGATTCAATCCTTTTGTTACTTTTATTTGGCATTATAAAATGATTATTGTTATGTTATTGTGTCTTTTGAATGTCATTTGTACTTTCTAGATTTGCAGTGTATAATTTTGGCTGTAAATGTAGGGTTTGGTAGATATTGTGCAGGTGATTGAAGAAAATGGCTTATTACCAAAAGTTATAATCTCAATGATTAATTTTTCTATGAGAGAAAAAAAAACCAGAACATGTGAAGAAAGTCTATTTATTTAATATATGAAAAGAAAATGTGTGTAGTTTTTTAGCATTTTCAATGTAAGTTTTGTTCTTTCAAAACAAAATGAAATGTTTTGAAAAGCCAATGTCAATTCTGAAGAGAGAAAAATAGGTTGCAGCTTTAGTAATTGAGTTTGACAAGTCTTATGGAGAGAGTTTTGCTGACATGACTCACAGATTTTAGCATTCCAAAGTTATTCAAGAGGTTGTTGGAGATGCTCTAAGTAAATTATGTTCGTATTTATTTATTTATTTTTGGTCTAATTTGCTAAAAAATTGAGTTGGATTCAGTTTTTATTTTATTCCTCCCCTTGTGGGCCGGAAATGTTTCAGAGTTATTAACAGAAGTTTGGGCTCCAAATGGTTTGATCCAAAATGTTACGTCAGTTAAGCCTCATTATAGAATTTCGCATTACCTCATATATCAATGGGCCTCAAACCCAAAAGACCCACTTGACCACTCAGAAAGACACAGACAGAGAGGGAGAGAGGGTCCGCGAGCAAGACAGCGAGCTTCAGCAATGAGCAATTATCCCTGTTGTTGCTTGCTGATGCGAAATCAAGCCCTCCAGAAAAGAAGTAGTTGGTGAGAAGAGAGGGTATGAATCCTCAACTCATTTTTCTCTCTTCCAATATTGGCTTTGTATTTTGGTTAGCAGCAATTCTTTACTTTCTTTTTCCTTTTGTTCTTGGGCTGTACTCTGAACTTGGGATTTTTCTTGGTATTAACTCCTTATGCATTAATCACTTCCTGCCCTCTAAAAACCTGTATCTGGGTTTCTATCTTATTTGTACAAAAATGTTAATTTTCTTAGAAGCAAGATATAATCATTTCAAATTCTTTCCCTGAAAAGTTGCTCTTTAGTGAAGTGAATTTGGGGAAGAAAGAGGTGAAACAGGGTGTTTTCTTACAAATGAGGGCAAGAATGTGTGCCAATTTCATATTACAACATCATTTGCTAAACTGTATATGCATTGGTTTTCTTCTTCTTTCTCGTTTTCTTTTTCCTCATTTTAATTCATATCACGTTCTTGTATATTTTCTAAAAGAGTTTCCCATTAGCTACTGTATGTTTGATTTTTACCGAAAGTCGGTTGTTGAACAACAATAAAAAAATTCTTGAAGAACTTGCCCTCATGAAGACACCTTAATTGTTTTCTTCTTTTTATTACTTGACATATGGTTAGATAAATTGGAGTTCTAGACTGTGTGGCAGAGTTGGATCTGTAAGTATTACTTTGGAGATGTGGGTACAACTTCTATAAGGTAAGGGTGCCCAAGTTCTTTCAAACATTTTAAAGGAGAAAAGGAAAAGAAGCATTTACTTCCCTAGTTTAGATTTTAGCTGGGTGTCAGTGCCTTGCTATCCTTTGAACCAACGTTTAGTTGAAATGTAACAAGACCTTACATGTGGTTGACTGTTTTGTTAGCACCTCTCTGTAATGCAATGGTTTGATTATTCTAGAAAACGTTTCCTAGAAAATTAGAAATCTACTTTTAACTCTTTCGGATCACTTAATGTTTTTCATGAGGTGTGATTTCATTTATTCTAAAACCATATTTGCAACAATTAGCTCAATTATATCGATAGTAATTACAATGGAAGTACTTGGTAAAATATCCACTATGTATGGAAATTTTATGGTGCTAACAGTTGTGCTAAACATGTTTATCTACAGATTCCAGGATGTGCTCAACATATGTTCATTAGTGTGTAGTGCTTCAATGGAATCTCTTGTAAGTTTCCCCGAGCTCTTCTTCGCTATTCTAAAAATGTTTTGTTATTTTTCCTTATTTCTGTTTTTGTATGGTTAACCTATTATTTCTTCTATTATTTAATGTTTCTGTTCTTTCAGGTTTCTGAAACAAGGACTCCTATCAGGATTGGGGACCGATCAACCAGTGATGTTGTTGTGAGGATACGGACACAGGATGGGCGGGATGATTGGTTTTATTGTCACTCGCAGGTCCTCATAGAAAAGAGCAAGTATTTCGCTGATCGCCTCTCTGAAAATTGGCCAACATGTCAGATTCTTGACTCACGCAACTGCGTTGAGGTATACTGCCAAGAATCAGAATTTGACCACCATGTCAGTGTCCTCCGCCTTCTCTACAATGTAATAGATGGCTTCGTTGATGACATGTGGCATGGTGTTAAAAATGCCCTTGGAATTCTTCAGGTAGCTGTCAATCTTGGATGCCCACAAATCATAACTGCTTGTGTGGACTACTTAGAAGCAGTCCCCTGGGAAGAGTCTGAGGAGGAGGAGATTTTAAAAATCATACCACGGCTCGGAACACAAGTGGAGCCAATTCTTGCCCGTCTCCTACCAGTCAAACAATCAGCCATAATGGGAATTTTTTTCTCAACCATCCGATTTGCCACATCTTCCCCTCCTCCAATCATGAATGATCTCAAGTCTTCAGCCCAGGAACAGCTTGAGTACATGCTAACCGAAGATGATGATGCCCCTCTCTTAGCAGCTGATGACGAGATAAAATCTGAGGTGAAAGATTGTGTGAAGAGACTATTTGAAAGATTTAATAATCTATTAGAAGCTTTATTATGTGAGATGGAATTATTTTCTGATGGACGGAAGATGCATTCATTTCAATCACTTTTATCAGATCTGTCATGGGCATGTCAGATATTATGTAAGTTGGAAATTATGAGGGAACTTGTCTGCAACTGGACGGATGCATCAGATAAAATAGTTAAGGTTGTAAAGGAAGCAAGCCCAACAGCTGAATTGATTGAGACAAAGCTGAGGGTTATTGAGGTGGCGGCAAAGATTCTAGAGGCAATAGGTTATGGCACGGTTGTTTTGCCCACGGCAAAACGGCTTCATATGGTGAAGGTGTGGCTTCCTTTTGTTAGGGTTGCGAAACCACTGATCGATTCTGTCACAACTGCCCGTGATGATGCTCCAACAGTGAAAATGGATAGTGAGCTGTGGCAATCCCTAGAATCCACATTTGTTTCAGTAATTCTTGCACTTCCATCAGCGGAGCAGGCGGAGATATTGACCGAATGGTTGGGAAATGAGCATATTCAATATCCTGACCTAACTGAGGCATTTGAGGTATGGTGTTACAGATCCAAGGTATCCAAAAGAAGACTATCATTTCTAGCGGTGAACCATGACAAGATCAATACATATTAAGTCATTAACCTCTTCTCTTGACCCTTTTAAACCTTTTTAGTAGCTATTCACACACCCTTTCCTTAACCAATGTATTTTGCAGAAACCTGGGGAGAAAGGAGGATGATTATGAGAAGTAAGACACCATATTTGAATTAGTAGCCCTATTTTGAACTGGTTCCATGTAGATTGTGCATCTAGGGTTTCATATGTCATTTGGATTTGGTCTTGTAACTCCTGATTAATTGTAAAAATTGTAATTGTTGGGGTTCTTAATGTCACAAGGTAACCTTGATCAAGGTGAAAAATCATATGTTCAATTCTAATTTTGTAAGTATCAATACTTCACTTGAGCAGAGATGTCAGTGAGAACTTTCTCCAATTTTCATACTATTAGTGGAATTTGTTATGTTCTGGTGGGGGCTCATGAGAACCTTCTGGAGACTAAAAGCACACCCAAAAAAAACCTCTTATTCAATTCAGCTCACCCTATAGCAAACGTGAAGCAATCTTGTTGATATTTGGTATCCTTGGCATACAAGATATCTTAAAACAAAAACAAAAGAAAATGGGCTGTGTCATCTAATTTTATCTCAAAATAAACAATAAATTGTCTCTGTATGAGAGCGATGTTGCATGCAACCGTTTGGATGCAAGTTTTTCTCCATAAGCAGATTGTACTATAAAATTTCATTACATTAAAATATTGCTTACTATATTTATACTTTGCTAACTTTAATGGGACATGCACTGTCCTGCTGTAAGCTTAGAGTCAAGACCCAAGTCAAGGCCCAAAAGCAAAACTACTCAAGATAATCATGCTTCCTATTAGTCCCACATCATCTTCTTTTAAAATAATCATAGCCATGCCACCGGGGTCTAATCCAGGGCCTTCACTTGTTGACTAGTGATTTTACATTTGAATTCCCACGGTACGTTAACAATGTGTATGAAAAAACCCCCCGTCTTAATATCGTTTTTATAAAATAAAAAATATATATATATATCATAGCCATTGTAAATCCATTTCTGTGTAGATTTGAGAAGAATAAATAAGATATTTTGATTGATTTACTGCAAATCAATATCTATCTTCTATGCTCGTGTGTAGATTGTATAGATTCTCGGAGTTCACAACAAATAATATTATCAGATCAAATAGTCTAAGCCCAAAAAAGTATTCATTATTTGAGTTGAGCTGGTAGCTAACACCAGAAGTATGGCATTATTTAGCGTACACCCAGTTACTTAAATATCAATATATATATTGGTATACCCATGCCACTTAAACTAAAGTTTTACACCAATCCATCTATCCAATCTCCAAAACTTACAAACTAATATACAATCCTCAACCATATGCTCTCAAATCCTAAAGCTGTCTAAGAACTGAAATGATTCTATGCAGAAGTATATACCTATACTAAAGTAAAATCTTCTTTCTTTACACTATCATATGCATTGATTTCCCTTGTTCCCCAAGTATTTAGAGGGCATAGAAAGAAATATTGGGATGAAGATCTTATAAAGCAGCAATAATGACATGACATCCCCTGCAGCCAGTCAAGCTACTTCAATGTCTTCTAAATTCTTTGCATCATGATCAGGCCACAAAGTCTGGCAACAATTGTGCTACGAACCTCTTTCGGTTCTGAATGTCGATGTTTTCAAATGCTGCAGAAGAGTGAGGAGCTGAAGTGTTTATGGTACCAAATTGATCATTTGCCTCACCAATGTCCACTCTTCTCCCAAGTTGAATGTTTTGGTTAGGGAGAAAGTTTTGGTGGTGATGAGCTCCAGACAAGGAGAGGTTTTCACAGTGAGGAAGGCCAAGAGTGAGAGAAACACCATTGCCTGAGAACCTTGGTGTGAATTGGTCAGCATCAAACCTGCCAATTTCACCAATTGGGTATTGTCCAAAACTTCCAATAAAATTGGTCTGACCTCCCATGAATGAGTACCCATCTCTGCCCTGCCTCTCATCCCCAAATTTCATAGAAACTTGCTCATTGTTTACCTCTTGAGCCTTGTGATCCATATTCATACACGGGACACTACTATTTGGTGACTGCATAAACTCAGTGCTCCTTGGCTTCTTTGGACTGCCTTGTGTGATGCCATCCAACTCCGATGACCCGATGAGAGAGAATCCAGACGGATTTCGAACCATGTTTGTGGGAGATGTTGAAGGTGTGGAAATTGACATTGAGGGAGGACCAGCAATATTGTTATGATTTGTTGAGTTCTCTTGTTTGGAATTGAAAGTGCTTGTTGTTTGATTATTCTCAGTGTCTTGTGGAGCTGTGGACTTTGATGCAGAGTCCTCATTGCTCTTGCTCATTTTCTCTGATGATCCATTCTGTTCATGCTCCTTGACCTCCTCCAAGTACATTTCCTCCACCATTGGCTTCCACAGCCGGACTCGAGCCATTTATGAACCAATTAGAAACCTGCATAATCAAATTCCCAAACAATAATCAATTCACAACTAATTCACTCATCAAACAAAAAAAAAAAAAAAAAAAAAAAAAAAAAAAAAAAAGAAGAAGAAAAAAAATTTTGCGTTAAAAAAATGTGCCTAGATTTCAGTACCTGGCTCCTAGTAAGCCCTGTCTGTTTTGCAAGCATGTGCTTGTCTGAATCCTTTGGGTAGCTGCAACACAAAATTCAACCATTCTTAGTACAGTGTGCTTAGAACACTTAGAGCCAAAAAAAAAAAAAGGGAAAGAGAGACGGCTATCTTATTTAAGAGACTGCATCTTGCAAAAACTACATAATGCAGAAAACACAACCCTATAACGAATCGGAGAATTCAGGATTATGAGAGTACTTACGGGTGGAGGAAGTGTTCGAAAAGCCAAGCACGAAGAACGGAAACAGATCTTTCGGGCAAGCCTCTCTGGGGTCTCCAAGCATTGTGCTGGATCATTCCCAACTGTTGGAGAGCCCTTTGCTGCCTCAGCTGATGGTCCACATATTTGAGCCTTGACCCTTCAATCTTGCCTGCTGCACAATCTTCTTCTCCTAAGCTCTTGTTTGCTGCTCGAATTTGGTTTGTTATGGCATCTTTCAAGCACCTGAATTGCTTTGAGATGGTTTGTAGGGCCAGAGCAGTGTAAGTTCTAGCTGAACCAATTCCAGCTGCTTGCTCGAAAGATGAAATTACCATTTGCATCTGTCGGTGGTACTGCCTGTACCTTTGGTCCACCTTCAACCAACAAGAAAAATGGGACAAACTAAATTAATTGGAAATTTCAATTGCAGAAAAGAGTTGGTAGCTAGCTGCTTCAACTTTGAATATGCTTGAGCTCTCTGTTCCAAGCCTAAGAATTCTATCACTTTATGTCAAATTTAGAAACCTAAATTCTCAATTAGCTCTTTTCATAATCCTTGTTAGTAAAACACCTTCTAAAACACTTTCATTAACTTTATCATGTAACATAATTAACGTTGAAATCAAATAATACTCAAAATTCATTTCAGATACTGAAAGAGGTGTTAAGTTCGAATCTCGAATTTAAAGAGAAAGACTGCAAAAACAAAACTATATTCATCAACATCACTAAACAAACAATTACCTCATCAAGCATGCTGATCAGCTTTCCCTTCTTCATCTGAATTTCCTGCCTCTCAGCAGTGCTCAACTCAGCAGCCCGCTTCCCACTTCCTTCACCGCCTACCGAGCTGTCTCCAGCGGCCGCCAAGGACGACTCAGCCACCACTTTACTCTGCTGCCCACTACCCTTCTTGGGCAACTCAGTCCTGATCCCGTTGCCCACGTTCACAACCTCCTCAAGCAGCTCCTGCGCCGCCTTCAAGTACTTAGAGCTCAGCAACACACTCTGCATACCCGAAACCCCATTCGTCACACCCGAAGCCGACGAATTCGACCCGCTGGAAACCCGAATATCTTCCCCGGACGGACCCTCCCTGTCCGAGGTAGCCCCGCGGAACGACCCAAACCCCGGCTGCTGTGAGGAGAGGGTCAGAGACAGGCCCTGCTGGGCGCGTGGGGTATCACGCGCCGCCGTGTTGGGGTCAATTGAGTTCCAAAGCGCATACTGCGTCTGAATTCTCGGCATGAAGGCATGCAGGGAGGAGAGGTCGGGGTGGGCCTGATGCATGGATGGGGAGTTGTTGTTGGGGTCGTGGGAGAGCGGGATGCCGACGAATTGCTGAGCGTGGGAAGGCGGCGCGTGGGAGAGAGTGGAGTGGTGGTGAGGGAGGGAATTGGTGGGGGAGTTGAGGAAGACGAGGTTGCCGGCGGAGGGGGGTTGGTGAGGTTGCTGTTGTTGCTGATGTGGCGGCGGCGGTGGAGTGTCGGAGTATTGGACGTAGCCGGGGTTCATGAGAACGAGGGTTTGTAGGGCGCCGTCTGAGGAGGCTTGGATTTCCGAGGAGTTTCCATGATGAAAGTACGTCGCCATGACAATAACTCAACACAGATTTCTTCTTTGATCAAGAGCCTCAGCTTTTGAGATTTAACTCCGAGCAAGAGCCTCAGCTTTTTACTTCACTACTGAAAACAGACTACGTTAATATTTATATACACAAAGGCTTTCACAATCCACATCATATCCTTTCATATATATATATATACACCCCCAACTACCAACCCCCCATAGAAACAACAAAACTCACACACCCACAAGAACACGTCTCTCTCTCTCTCTCTCTCTCTCTCTCCCTCTCCCTCTCCCTCTCTCTCCACCATGCATATAAAAATATGTTTATTATTGCTTATGTGTGTGCTGGAGAATTGAGAAATGATTTTGTAGATTGTGAATCTGGTTTCTGAATGTGTCCATGAATTGGGCAAGTGAGTGGTGGAGAATTAAGGGATGAGCAGCCCAAAATCTGATGTCTGATCAAAATTAAGGGAGGCAAACACAAATCCAAAAGTTGGGTAGGAAGATTCAGCTGCTGGGTTATTGCCTGGTGTCCAAGCAGCTTGGGTTTTACTGCTTGGAGTTAGAGAGAAGCGAGTAAAAGAAAGGGGAGAGAGAGTAGGATATGGAAGTATGTTGGCTTTATATAGAGATAAAGAGAGATATGGAAAGAGAGGGAGAGGGAGAGAGAGAGAGAGAGAGAAAGAGGTATAGTGATTGAGAGAGAGAGAGAGAGAGAGAGAGAGAGAGAGAGAGTGAAAGGAATTGATTATAATAATATTGGTACCTGGTGTGATGGAAATCTGAGTTTGCACGTGCTTCATGATCATCTCTGGACTGCAAAGGAAAGAAAGAATTTCACCAACAATGACACAAAACCCATGAAATTTAGAGAGAGAGAGAGAGAGATGACCAAACAGTTATGGCTAAAAAACATGAGCTATAGCTATACAGAAGGATGTATCTACTATCTATATGTACATGAAAAAGAGAAAGAAGAGACTAATTGAGACACCAACACACCTGTCTATGTGTAAGTGTGTGGGATTTTATCAGTGCCTTGCTTCCTTCCAGATGTAATATAGGAGATGGATAGGAGAAAGGAAAGGAAAGCCCCTTCTGTCAGACTCAAAATCTCTGCAACTTCTCCCACTGAAAAGGAAAAAAAAGAGAGATGGGGTTAAAAAGGTGTTTGAGAGAAAAAGATAGCCATCTTTATTCATTCACCTCATTATCCATACAACACATTTATGATGACCCCATTCTTAATTTCTTCAACAAAATTTAAGAATATATATATATTGTTACTTTTTTTTTTTTTTTTTTTTTTTTTTTTTTCTTCTTCTTCTCCCCCTCTCTCTCTCTCTCTCTCTCTCTCTCTCTCTCTCTCTCTCTCTCTCTCTTTATGTCTTTTTGGGTGGAAGTGTACCTGCGAATAGATCAAAACCACGAGAGAACTTCTGATTTGACCCTCCCTTTTCAAATCATTTGATGCAGCCAAGCACCCTTTGATGAGAAACAAAGAACCTTTTTTAATATGAGAAAGAGAGAGAGAGAGAGAGAGAGATATATATCGATGGAAATGGGTCTGCCTTAACCAAAATTATGGATCAATAAAAATATATTTCAAGGCTTGTCAGAAGATACAAACAGCTGAAAAACGAGGAAACGTCTTCTTCCACCAAAGCTCTTCTTAATAAAAATAAATCAAAGAAGGAAGATGATGAAGAAGAGGGTTGTGTGTGGACTGTGGAGGGTCCTATTCTTCAATTCAATATTAAATATCTGCTTGTCTTTTTCATGTACATTATTTTTATATAATTTCCTTATTTTCAAAATCTTTTTCTTTTTTTGATATTTTTTGTGGTTGGATTCCTGAGTTTGAAGATAAAGCAATTAAATTGCTAAGGAACACAGGACCAACCACCATAACAACAACTTTAATGCCTATCAAGTTAATATGTGTTTGTCTCCATTATTTACCCCACATATATAAAGTATGTGTATAGGAACATAAAGGCATATATGTACATCTTACCCTACACAACCATGGGTAGAGAAAATCAGTACACAATAATACAATTTAGGCCTTAGAATGATAATGAGCCGGGACTATTTAGCTCATAATGAATAGTGTGTTTTGATAATGGAGCGTGTAAACTAATAAATGCGCGTTTCAGGTACTTGCGCGCACATATATTAATTAAAATTTTGAAATTCCATGCAGATTTCTTTGGAAACAAGAGAATGAAGTATTTTCTTTTACCATTTTTTATGATCTGGCTCTTAATGGATCTTCAAAGGCCCTGTAAATGCTCATTAAAGAAATCCTTACAATTAAGAACTAGAATGGGTGGATATAAATGAAATCGACCAAAACAAACCCTAAAAAACAGCTACGGGTAATAACAAATTAATTAGCTTAAATAATTACCCTTTCACTCAATAAGAAGGCATTTACACCCTGAAAGGACAGAAAACAACTGCTTAATTAATTGTTCTCACTTGCATTTCCTATTCTTGAAGTCACAACCTTAATTTCATGAAAATTTTCCATCACCATCTGTAACACTGATGGTATCAGAATAAACAGTGACCTAAAGTTCCTGATGTTAAAAGGACAGGACATTAAAAATTAAAAAAAGACATTCATGTTCACAAATCAGGTAAACTTTGTGATGTAGGCACTATAAATACATATATAGGTCTCTGCACTGAGAGCAACAGGCTTTTTCCTGTGATCAACTGTCATCTCCCAATTTCAATATCAACAACAACAAGGGTATTAATTTTCCCTACTTCTTATGATTGAATCATGAAAACTTGTGGGAAGTTTCAAATCCATATATATGTATCTGCAAACATTTACTGTTTTCCATCTCTGTTGAAACAAAAGCTCCTTACAGAAAACGTGTGTTTAACTATCTCATTCATCTCAAGTACCCAATTGGTCAGGTCCTTCATGTATGACAATGAAAAGGGTACTGGTCTTTGGAAAAGGTCATCAACCGTTGCAGACAAAAACAGTGCATCCCACACAACTGATTGAGAAACTTTCCAACAGGAAAGTATACCCACATGTACTACACATTGAAAAATATTGGTTCTTTTCCATGCAAAAAAATAATTTGATGACATGAGTGCATACACTTTTCTTTTTACCATTTCATTGAATTATTTATGCATTTGTGTTAAAATGTAATTCGCATTTTTACAGATAAAAAATAGCGACTCTTTATATGAAAGAAGCCAATTAGTACTTTGTTATGTTTTTTTTTTTCTTCGTGTTACACATTTAATAATCTATAAGAGGGTTTACACATTTTTTTTTTGGGTCCAGAATCATGGAGAAATGGGTCGTGAAAGTTGTTGTTCATGTTTTATTCTATCAATCAAGGTTGAGCATG